CAATGAGGAAAGGCCAGTCTATCAATTAATGTTGTTGGGAAAACTGGATGTCCACATATAGGACTAAAACTTAGTCCTCTAATCTAATAGAATGAAAACAGGTCTTTATCTCACATCATATGCAAAAAAAAAAAAAAAAAAAACACAAAACACTAAAATGGATAAAAGACTTAAAATGTAAGATCAAAAACTTAAAAACCATTAGAATAAAACAAACAAAACCCAGCTCTATGCCATTGATCGGGGCAATTGTTTCTTGGATAGGACTTTAAAAGCATAAGCCACAAAAGCAAAAATACACAAATGGGATTATGTCAAATTTAAATGATTTTGCATAGCAAAAGAAATAATTAACAGAGTGAATGAAGAGACAACCAAGAGATTTGGAAAAATATTTGTAAACCATACATCTGATAAGGGGTTAATCTCCAAAATATAAAATATAAAATAGTGGGAAAATAATCTGATTAAAAGATAGCAATGGGGGCTGAGGTTAGGGATATGTGGATATAGCTCAGTTGAACAGATCTTGCCTGGCACGTATAAGGTCCTGGGTTTAATCCTCAGGACCACATGAAAAAAAGAAAAAGAAAAAAAGTAAAACGTCTGAGGATCTAAACAGACATTTCTTAAAATAAGTGGTGCAAATGGCCAATAGATATGTGAAAAAATGTTTAATATCTCTGATCATCAGAAAAATGCAAACTAAAATCATAATGAGATATCACTTCACATCTAGAAGGATGATTATAACCAAGAAAATAAAGGATAACAAGTGCTGTCAAGGATATGGAGAACATTGCAGCATTATTTACAGTAGCCAAGATATGAAAGCAAATTAAATGTTCATCAGTAATGTGATACATACACACACACACACAGTATTATGAAATACTATGTAACCTTAAAAAAGGAGAAATTCTGTCATTTGTGACAACATGAATGAAACTGGAGGACGTTATGCTAAGTGAAATAAGCTAGGCACAGAAAGACAAATACTATATGATCTTACCTATATGTGGAATCTAAAAGGTTGATCTCACATAAACAAGAGAGTAGAAAGGTGGATACCAGAAGTTGGAGAGGTAGGGTGGGGATATGGGAGAAGTGGAAAAATGGAAAAAGGAGATACATTGACAAAAGGGTACAAAGTCTCTGTTAGATTGGAGGATTAAGTTATAGGGTTCTATGGCACTATATGGTGATCACAGTTAATAATAATGTATGGAATCTTTAAAAATTGCTAAAAGAACACCTTTAACTTTCTCATCATAAAAAATTTGGTAAGTGGTGAGATTACGGATATTAATTATTTGACAACAGTGAGTAAGCAGACCAAAGCATTATATAATAACCCATAAACATATATAATTGTCTATTCAAAATAAATAAACAAAAAAATAAATAACCTTTTTAGTGACCTTAAAAGTAGGTCCAATTTAATATCAGGTGCAAAAAAAGGGATCCAAAATTACATAAGATATGAACAACTATTTAAAAATACGACTATATAAAGGAATATGTCAATATTTAAATAGTTGTTGCCAGTGAATAGTGGGACTATGGGTAGTTTCCTTGGCTTCGTATTTACCAACTTCCATATTTTCTCATGAACATGAATTATTTTGCTAATCAAGGAAAAAGGCTCATGATACATTCAAGAATAAGTGAAAGAGTAGACAAGATTAATATCCCTTTCTTCAACCAAGCTACAAATTTCATATGGTGTTTTAAAATGAGAAAACATGGTGAACTGTTTCTAATTTGTTCTTTCTTTCTTTTTTATTTATATATGACAGAATGCATTACAATTCTTATTTCATATATAGAGCACGATTTTTCATATCTCTGGTTGTATACATAGTATATTCACACCAATTCATGTCCTTATACCTGTACTTTGGATAATAATGATCATCACATTCCACCATCATTAATTACCCTATGCCCCCTCCCTTCCTCTCCAACCCCTCTGCCCTATCTAGAGTTCGTCTATTCCTCCCATGCTCCCTCTTCCTATCTCACTATGAATCAGCCTCCTTATATCAAAGAAAACTGTCAGCATTTGGTTTTTTGGGATTGGCTAACTTTACTTAACATTATTTCTCTAACTCCATCCATTTACCTGTAAATGCCATGATTTCATTCTCATTTATTACTGAGTAATAGTCCATTGTGTATATGTGCCACATTTTTTTTAATCCATTCATCAATTGAAGGGCACCTAGGTTGGTTCCACAGTTTAGCTATTGTGAATTGTGCTGCTATAAGCACTGATATGGCTGTATCCCTGTAGTATGCTGTTTTTAAGTTCTTTGAGTATAGACCTAGGAGAGGGACAGCTGGGTCAAATGGTGGTTCCATTCCCAATTTTCCAAGAAATCTCAATCTCCATACTGCTTTCCATATTGGCTGAACGAATTTGCAGTCCCACCAGCAGTGTATATCTTTCCCCCGCATCCTTGCCAACACTTATTGTTGTTTGTATGCATAATAGCTGCCATTCTGACTGGAGTGAGATGAAATCTTAGAGTGGTTTTGATTTGCATTTCTCTTTATGCTAGTGATGATGAACATTTTTTCATGGTATTTGTTGACTGACTGTACATCATCTTCTGAGAAGTGTATATATGCTCCAAACAATGGAGCATCTACATTCATCAAACAAACTCTTCTCAAGTTCAAGAGTCAAATAGACCACAACACAATAATTTTGGGTGACTTTAATATACCTCTTTCATCATCAGATATATCTTCCAAACAAAAGCTGAACATAGAAACTATAGAACTCAATAATGCAATCAATAACTTAGACTTAACTGACATATAGAATATTCCAACCTTCAATGAGAGAATATACTTTCTTCTCAGCAGCACATGGATCCTTATAATTTGTTTCTAACACATCTGAACATTAACTTGAAAAACAATTTGTATTGTGTTTTGTGCCCAAATATGTATTTAATCTGTAAATCTTATATTAATCCATTCTTATACTTGGCTGATGAATTTCTTGGTCCTTTATGTGTATACACAAGGACTTGGAGTACAACCTTATTCTGACTTTGCTTCTTTTCCCCTCCCATTTGTTACAGAAAAAAGGAACTAAGAAATATTGTTAAATAGCCAAATGGTTCAAGTAATTCATTCTTTCATTGCTAATAAAATGTTTTTGAACTGATGAGATCAAAATAAACACAGTTCAGTTTGTACTAGGCACATACTAAGACAGGCCTTATGAATAAAGTATATATAATCTAGTGAGGAAGGCAGAAGTAAATAAGTGCTATGCACTATAATAGAAGAATGTGCAGAGACATAACTCAGTCAAATAATCAGGGATGATTTCTGGAGGAGATGGTATTATAGCAAAAGATAGACCACAATTTTATCTTAGCCTGTTCCTTACTTGTGTGTGTGTGTGTGTGTGTGTGTATTCTTATTCATTTTTCTTTTTTCTTTTTATTTTTTTAGTTATGCATGACAGCAGAATGTATTTTGACATATCATACATGCATAGAGTATAACTTCCCATTCTTGTGGTTGTATATGATGTGGAGTTACACTAGTCATGTATTCATATATGAACATAGGAAAGTTATGCCCATTCATTCTACTGTCTTTCCCATTTTTTGGTATATAATTAATACAGCATTTATTTATGGATAGTAAATAATGGCCAATCCTAGGTTGACCCAGATCCTATGATAAGAAATTTCTAATCAGAATCAGTCTACTAGTTTTCATAAAACCCTATGTTAATCCTATATTATTATTATTGTTGTTGTTATTACTATTGGTACTAGGGAATAAACACAAGGGTACTTAACCATTGAGCCACATCCCCAGCCCTTTTATTATTGATTTTTAAATTTTGAGTCAGGGTCTCCTTAAGTTGCTTACAGCCTCGTTAAATTGTTAAGGCTGGCTTTGTACCTGTGATCCTCCTACTTTAGCTTCCTAAGTCACTGAGATTACAGGTATGTGCCACTGCTCCTGGATAATCCTATAGTATTATTAATAACAGTGATTTTTTCCTTCACTCGATTAGGAATTCCTTAAGAGGAAGGAGTACCTTGATTATCATGACATCCCTACACCTAGCACAGTGCCTAAAATATCAATACGTAATAGAATTTATTTATCCACTTTAAAAAATCATTCTTTGGTTCTTTACCTTTCTTTAGTGTAATTTACAAATTTCAGAAATTTAAAACAACAAAGACTCTCTCTATATATATACACACATATTCAGTTGCCTGTAATTGTTAGTGTAGACAATGAATAACAAGATCAAAGGGGCAAGTACTAGGTGTGTTTTATTACTAGCAATTCTATAAAGTTGATAAATATTATGTTTATTTTTCACCCAAATTCACATGTTTCAGTTTCTAATTGGTACTTGGCCTTTGGGAGGTAATGAGGGTAAGATGAGTTCAAGAGGCTGGGACCATCATGACAGGATCAACATCTTTATAAGACAGGCACTTGAGTGCCTGCTCTCTTTGGCACACACAAAAAAAGAGATCAAGCGAGGACACAGTGAGATGGTGGCTGCCTACAAGCCAAGGGAGGATCTTCAGAATGAAAATCTACCTTACTGATCATAGACTTCTCGGCCTCCAGAACTATGAGAAATAAATTTCTGTCATTTAAACCACTTGATTTATGGGTATTTTATTATGGAAGCTTGAGCAAACTGATATAGATTTTAGTACCAAGAAGGGGGTGATTGTGTTTAATGGTGATAGTGATGACTGCTTGAAATGTGTAATCAGCAGTCTATTTCATTCTGGATTTCTTATTTCAAGGCATCAGATATGGCTAACAAAGTATGCTTTGATTAGATTAAGAGTTAAGCAAGTACACAGTCATTTGAATTTTAAAACCCCAATAATTAATAATAATATTAGAACAAGAATCACAAGTGATGGGAATTAAAGATTCTTCTCAAAAAAAGAGACAATGTCACTCTAGAACTCCTAGTTGGTCTAACTTACTTTGTTTTTGCCTCGTTTAATAAAGAAGGATCATCCGTGGCCAAATATACTCTTTTTTTATCCACTTGCATTCTGCGTGCGAGAAGCTGAAAATGTTCTTCAACATGCACCATGTACTCCTCAATGGGATGGAAGGCTGCTTCTGTTCCCACTTTGTCTGTGCGTCTGACATGGACTCTGGGGGAGAAATTCACATTCTGCTGATAATGTATTGATTAACTTGGTGCTTTTGGTGTACTCAATTTATATAATTTATAATGGCATTATAACAATTTAAACTGATTTTTCTTCATTTTCATAATTAGAAAAAACAAATATTAAAAAAACTCTCACATGTTTTAATATATTTGCATGGTAAACAATATAAGAGAAATTAGAAAATAAGTAAAGCTTTGGAAGAATACTTTATTATAGAGAAAGTAGTTGGTATATCAGGAATAACTGAAAGATTTCAGAGTTATACTTCACATTAGGCAGCAACATACTCACCAGCTATCCAGGAAAAAACAAAACAAAAAAACCAAAGAATTTAAATCTTAGGGTTTTTGAGACTAAAATGATGAAGAGTCACAGTTGTTATTATAGAGTATTAAAAATAGTGCTTGTCACATTCTGAAGCCATTTTTTTCTTTTCTTCATTTAATCTTGTATTATAACTGCCAGTTTATAGAATTTAAAGTTGTCTAAGGAAAACACAGACTACATGGACTTTTCCTGTAGGAAGTGGCAGGAAAACTTTTAAGGATTTTTACTATTTTAGTTTCATGGAGTCATTCCAGCCCTTTTGTTGTGTTTCTAATGTGTTTCTTTTCTGTTTTTCACTTATCAAATGTGAGCAGATACAGATCTCATCCATACCACTTATAAAAAGGCCTAAAACAGTAAAATTGGCTATACATATTTATATCAATCTGCACTGAATAATACACTGATTTCCATAGTCTTCTATCTTAGTGCTTCCAAAGTAATTTTAGTGGAAATAAGAATAATAATCATATTTTGTTTTCATAATTAAGGTTCCTTAAATCTGCCCTCTAGAGCCACCCATTGATAAATCACTATCCCTATGTAGAAGAAGGAAAATGGTAGATTTCTTTCCCTGAAGTTGCAGTCTTGGGCATGCCTCAGGCCAAGCCAAAGGCCAACTCTATTATGGGGTATGGAGATTTGTTTCACTGATGTTACTCTGCCATCTTTATGACTTTCCATTCTTTTCTTTGCATGCCAGGTTATAGTCCAGATGTGGATAGGATCACAGAAACATCTATTCTGTCATCTTTTCCTTCCCACATTCTTATTTATTATTATTATTTTTTTATTTGTTCTAATTAGTTATACATGATAATAGAATGTACTTTAACACATCATACATAAATGGAGTATAACTTCTCATTGTTCTGGTTGTACATGATGTAGAATCACACTGGTCGTAAAGTTATATATGCACACAGGGTAATAGTGTCCAATTGATTCTACCATTCTTCCCTCAATGCTTCTCTTAGGAAACTGGAATTGTTCAGTGTGCTCTATAGAGATGATGTTAATGATTCCACTGATTTTTAATAAAAAGTTTCATGAGATGAAACACTATCTAATAATATTATGATTTCACTACGTATCTTCTTTTATGCGAACATTTTGAATAGGGGTTAATAATTTCTCTATAAAAGCTAAAACATGAAGGAAGATGTGAAGTGGGAAATATGAAAATAAAAACAAAGAGATCTGTAATATTAAGAGTGGAAAAAAGAGAAGCATTATAAAGCACTACTAAGCTATTTTTACTAATGTTCTAAGTGAACAAAGGAAGAATATTCTCCCTGTGCCCTAACATGAACTGTGAAACCTGTTTTTGGTGGGGCAATGAAAACTAAACTCTGAATTGTAAAGATCAAAGTAGAAGGTAAAAATATTATGTATCACTATTATATATCACTGTTTGAGGGAAAAAAATCAGATTCTTACCCAATAACTGGATGTTTGAAGCCAAGCTTCTTGGTGGCCTCTTCTATTTCCTTTTCCAACCAAGGTTGTGGGCGGATCAAATATTTGACAAATTGAGACACCCACCACACTGCAGGATCACCATGGACTCTTACGAGTCGATCTGCAAGGTCTTCTGGTACAGCCAAGGGTAAATAAGGAGGACGCGGATGAAGACTGTCTACAATGGGGAGCTCCACCACTTGAACAACTCTGTCCTTCACTTCACCTGACAGAATATCAAAACATATCATCACCACACTATATTTCTCATTTATCTACCCTACTACAATAACTCACATGGGGTACTTTCATTTTCATAGCAACACTCAAGAAGAATTATAGTTTTCAGTTATGAGGAGATTAAATAACTTACCTAAGGTCCCCGAACAAAAGGGACAGAGAGAAATTTCACACATAGGTTGGTCTGCTTCTTAAGTACATGACCTTTTCTGAAAATTTCTAGCATGCTATCATATTATTACCTCAAACCCCAGGTAAGAATGGTATCAGCACTCTAAGTAGATATCTGATATTCTAGATATCAGAGAATGGACACAGCCAACTGTCAAAGTTCTTTTTTCTGTTACAGTTATTTTTTAATTAGAGTTACTCAAAACTTCCAGCTTGTCATTATAGCAAATGGCTCTTGTATGACTTTCATGACAGAGCACTCTGGGAATATCTAAAGATTATAATGATAAACCAGTGTTAGCTTCAGTGTGGCCTTGGCCAGGGAGATTGCTGCCTAGGGCTTTACAATGTACTATGTCAATAGAAGAAGGGAGAAGGGTCCCCTTGTTTGTCTATAAGTAGGGTCTCTGGAGGAATCCAGAGCTTTAGTGGCCAATAGAAGCTTTCAATTTAATGTTCAGATGTGTTAGCAACAAATTAGAAGGATCCATGCTGCTGAGAAGAAAATATATTCATTCTCTCGCTGAAGGTTGGAATTATATATGTCAGTTAAGTCTAAATTATTGATTATATTATTGAGTTCAATAGTTTCTTTGTTCTGCTTTTGTTTGGAAGATCTATCTAATGATGAAAGAGGTGTGTTAAAGTCACCCAAAATTATTGTGTTGTGGTCTATTTGACTCTTGAACTTGAGAAGAGTTTGTTTGATGAATGTAGAATGTAGAGAAAAAAAATTAGATTTCAAAGTCTTTATTTCTTGGCCACAATAGACCTGTGACAATAACAATCTGTGTTGCTTGTTTATCTGGATATTAATTTAAAGTTCAAACAGTTTGGATGCTAATTTTTATATACAATGATTACTCTTATATCTGTTTTCTATACATCATCACTTACAATAGTTTGAATCTGGAATGTTCCCCAAAGACTCATGTGTTGAAGGCTCAGTCCCAATACATGCAATGTTCAGAGGTGATTTTTTTGGGGAAGTGATTGGATCACGAGGGTGCTAACCTTGTGAACAAATTAACCCCTTGATAGAGTCATGGCTGAATGGATTACTGGAGGTAATAGAAAGTTAGGAGGTAGGATCTAGAGGAAGAGTCTTTATGGGCATGCCCTTTGGGACTGTATCTTGTCTTCTGCTTCTCTTTCCTTTCCCTTTGTCTCTGTCTCTCTCTGTTTACTGGCTGCCATGAGATGAGCAGCAGCTTTCCTCCACCATGTGCTTCTATCACGATGTTTCTATTTTTTCTAGAAATTTTGACATAGCAATACAAAGCTAATACATAACTGTTATTGCTGTTCTATCAAATTTATAATGTAATGATAAGAATAAACCACAATATAATAGCCAGAACCCCTATGGTTTACATATTAAAGACCTATAATCCCAAGTACTTGAGAGGCTGAGTCAGAAAGATCACAAGTTTTATGTTAGCCTCAAGCAACTTAGTGAGACCCTATCTCAAAACTTAAAAAAAAAAAAAAAGCCAGGCATGGTGGCAAGCACCCATAATCCCAGCATCTTGGGAGGCTGAGGTAAAGAACTGTAAATTCAAAGATGGCTTTAGTAACTTAATGAGACTCTAAGCAACTTAGAACCTGTCTCAATATATAAAATAAAAGGGCTGGGGATGTGGCTCAGTGGTTAAGGGCCTCTGGGTTCAATCTCTGGTACCAAATCAAACAAAAAGAGCTGGGGATGTATCTCAGTATGAGACCCTGGGTTCAATTTTTAGTACTACAAAAACATAGTGATAACTAGAAGACAAAGAGTTACCAGGTAGAGAGATTTCACAAACTGAATATGTACTGAGTTAAATTTTCAATAACAGAAAATATTACCCTGAACATATAAAAATTAACTCTAGTTAAGATGTTATCATTGTGTAAAAAAAAATTAGATTGTGATCACTGGACCATTAAAGAAAAAATATACTTGTAGAGAATAAACCTAGAAAATGTTTAAATTGTATTCACCAGTATGAAATAATCTGTTTGTATTTATCTCCCCTGTCCCCCATGTATATATACATAAAATAAATTAAGTGATCTGGGAATACAGTCAATAACTACATGGTTATTATAAAGTCGGCTGTGTATAACTAAGAATTAAAAACTTTTGGTTAATACTCTGTCTCTTATATGTAAAACTCATCTCAAGATTCTGAGAACAGAATCCTTAAAATATAACATTTGTTGTATGAATAAATGGTAATAAAAATTTACCATCAGTGTTGTTGTTCATCTAGGGTGCCAGCAAAGAAAAAACTGGGCCCCTTTATTAGAAGAAGAAGTATAATTAAGAGTGCAAGGAGAAAGACTGAGCTGCATTTTAAATTACACAGTAATTACAGAGCAATAGTAACAAAAACAGCATGGTACTGGTACCAAAACAGGCGGGTAGACCAATGGTACAGAATAGAGGACACAGAGACCAATCCACAAAATTACAACTATCTTATATTTGACAAAGGGGCTAAAAGCATGCAATGGAGAAAGGATAGCATCTTCAACAAATGGTGCTGGGAAAACTGGAAATCCATATGCAACATAATGAATCTGAATCCCTTTCTCTCGCCATGCACAAAAGTTAACTCAAAATGGATCAAGGAGCTTGATATCAAATCAGAGACACGGCGTTTGACAGAAGAAAAAGTTGGCTACAATCTACATACTGTGGGGTCGGGCTCCAAATTCCTTAATAGGACACCCATAGCACAAGAGGTAAAAACAAGAATCAACAAATGGGACTTACTCAAACTAAAAAGTTTTTTCTCAGCAAGAGAAACAATAAGAGAGGTAGAGAGCCTACATCCTGGGAACAAATTTTTACTCCTCACACTTCAGATAGAGCCCTAATATCCAGAGTATACAAAGAACTCAAAAAATTAAACAATAAGAAAACAAATAACCCAATCAACAAATGGGCCAAGGACCTGAACAGACACTTCTCAGAGGAGGACATACAATCAATTAACAAGTACATGAAAAAATGCTCACCATCTCTAGCAGTCAGAGAAATGCAAATCAAAACCACCCTAAGATACCATCTCACTCCAGTAAGATTGGCAGCCATTATGAAGTCAAACAACAAGTGCTGGCAAGGATGTGGGGAAAAGGGTACACTTGTACATTGCTGGTGGGACTGCAAATTGGTGCGGCCAATTTGGAAAGCAGTATGGAGATTCCTGGAAAAGCTGGGAATGGAACCACCATTTGACCCAGCTATTCCCCTTCTCGGACTATTCCCTAAAGACCTTAAAAGAGCGTACTATAGGGATACTGCTACATCGATGTTCATAGCAGCACAATTCACAATAGCTAGACTGTGGAACCAACCTAGATGCCCTTCAATAGATGAATGGATAAAAAAAAATGTGGCATTTATACACAATGGAGTATTACTCAGCACTAAAAAATGACAAAATCATGGCATTTGCAGGGAAATGGATGGCATTAGAGCAGATTATGCTAAGTGAAGCTAGCCAATCCCTAAGAAACAAATGCCAAATGTCTTTTTTGATATAAGGAGAGCAACTAAGAACAGAGCAGGGAGGAAGAGCATGAGAAGAAGATTAACATTAAACTGGGACGAGAGGTGGGAGGGAAAGGGAGAGAGAAGGGAAACTGCATGGAAATGGAAGGAGACCCTCGTTGTTATACAAAATTACATATAAGAGGAAGTGAGGGGAAAGGGGAAAAAAACAAGGAAGAGAAATGAATTACAGTAGATGGGGTAGAGAGAGAAGATGGGAGGGGAGGGGAGGGGAGGGGAGAGGGTATAGTAGAGGATAGAAAGGGCAACAGAATACAACAGACACTAGTATGGCAGTATGTAAAAACGTGGATGTGTAACCAATGTGATTCTGCAATCTCTATACGGGATAAAAATGGGAGTTCATAACCCACTTGAATCAAATGTATGAAATATGATATGTCAAGAGCTTTGTAATGTTTTGAACAATAATTAAAAAATTTAAAAAATAAAGTCTATAAGAAAGCAAAAATAAAATAAAATAAATTACGCAGTAATATGTCCTCTAAAGTAGGGAAAACTTGGGTACTTTCCCTGATATGGAGATGATCACAGAAGTAGTACATATATGAAAGAGAAAGAATAAAGGAGGAGGGGCAAAAGTAGTTATTTAACCCATTAGTACCAAGTTTTTAATTCTGCAAATATAAGAAACATTCAAATATTATTTCAAAGTTACCATAAGTGGTATACTTGATACATGTTGCTCAATTTAATTTTTTATAGGTGTTCCACATCTAAAATAATGGAGAAAATGGGTTGATAAATAAAGGAAGGAAACCCCTAGCCTCTTGTATAAATTCTGCTTTTTATAAGTGAGAGCAAAATAAGTAAGGCTCCCTTCCCTTTGTGACTTCTTCCTAACAAGGTTATTCTACTAAATGTTTAGTATGACTGGCTCCAAATTTCATCTGTATGAAAGTATTATCTTCTGACTAACCTAAGGCTCAACTTCCTTATAGTTAGCTCAATTGATAGCTTTCAGAAAGAAATGAAAACTACATCTTCAAGACAGAAAACTGGGAAATGATGAAGCTACCTCTATATTAAAGATATTGCAGACTGCTTAAACTTGACTGAGCACAACATTGTGATTGTGGAGAGATAGAATGTTGTAGGTGGAGCCCAAAGTTTTCTTGGACTATCTTATGACTTTAATAGACATTTCCCTTAACTTTTATATCTGACCTACCATTCTTTCAAGTAACAGATAGTCTCCACCAACCCTAAAGCTAAGAATGTTTTAACATCTGAAATCTACAGAACACAGAGTT